CAGCACTAAGCACCATCATTACTGTGGTCAGTCAGTCATCACAATAATTACCATTGTTGATCCCTGGCAGGGATCATGACCATCACTGCCAGCATCTTCTTTACCATTTGTGGTGATATTACAACATTACCACCATCTATCATCATCTTCACTATCATTATCATCATCACCATCATCTTCACCATCATCACCATTATCATCATCACCATCTTTACCATCATCACCATCTTCACTATCATCACCATCATCACCATTATCATCATCTTCATCATCATCACCATCTTCACCATTATCATCATCACCATCTTCACCATCATCACCATCTTCTTCACCATTATTACAAACCATCATCACCATTGTCACCACTATCATCACCACCATCTTCACCATCATCACCACCATCATCACTATCATGATCACCATTATCATCACCATCATCTTCACCATCATCACCATCATCTTCACCATCATCACCATCATATTCACCATTATCCTCACCATCATCACCACTGATCTTCTTCACCATCATCACCATCATTACCACTATCACCTTCACCATCATCACCACCATCATCTTCACTATCATGACCTTCACCATCACCACTATCACCATCATTATCAACATTGTGACTGTCCCTGCAACCATCTTCATTATTATTATGACCACCACTATCATCTTCACCATGATCATCTTCATTATCACCATTGTCACCATCATCTTCATTATCACCATTGTCATCATCACCATGAGCACCACCCATTAAATAGCCATTCATTTCAATCCCTATTTAGGCTCTACTCCCTTTGGTCAACTGTACACTCCTGGATTACACTGTAGACTTCCTAATGGGCTCTGGGGTTAAAGAAATATTTGTGTTCTGTTCATATCATGTGGAACAAATAATAAATTATATCAAGTAGGTAGAAAAATTAGTTAATGAAGAGTTTCTTCCTGTAAGAACACTGCACAAACAAGGAATGATCCTTACTGGACTTCCAGGAAGAACAGTTTGGAACTTATAGAGCTATCCAGTATAAATAAAGTTAGTTTAGTTTAGGTTTCCTCCTGTAGTAACACTGGATCAATAAGAGATGATCCTTACTGGACCTCTAGGAAGAACAGTTTAGAACTGATAGAACTATCCAGTATAACAAAGTTAGTTCAGTTTAGGTTTCCTCCTGTAGTAACACTGGATCAATAAGATATGATCCTTACTGGACCTCTAGGAAGAACAGTTATAAATTGGAACCCGCGTAGGTAGTGCCAAATACAAGTAAATTTGTACGACGTTTCAAGTGAAGACCCTTCTTATTATCTGACATACATACAAGCAAGTTTCTTTCATACATTTAGAGATCCAGAGTGGAGTGCAAAACGTTCAACATGTACATTTCATACCGTGCTCTCTGAGGGTTGTATGTCATTGGGTGATGCCTTGAGAGAGATTGATAGACAGGTTCGTCATCTAACTCATCTTGAAATAGGAAACTTAAAACAAACTGTCTCGACCTTGAATTTGCAGACGATTTTTATGCTTTATTCGTGTTGAAGTGTAAACGAAGTACTGTATAATATTTTTCAGGCTTTTATAAAGACAGATTTCATTCTTGTCCATGGCGACCTAGTATCAAACATAAAATTGGATAAAGTTTTAAAAGAACATAAGTAAGGGCCTGTTCATATGGGCAAAAGTTATCCCGGTTAGCGAGAAAACTTTTCGACAAGTTTATAAGCGAGATCTCGCCTTGGTATGAAAATAATAAGAAAAGTTACGCTGCGTTCTTATGAGACAAAACGTTTTCCAGTGTACCGAGATCTCGCTTGTTGACAGGCGAGATCTCTGTGACCGGGATAATGTTTTGCCCATATGAACACAACTTTCCCGCTTAGCGGGATAACTTTCTGTCGTGTCAGCAACTTTTCAATTCAATTGATGTTCAGTGCCACGTCACAGCTGAATACTTTTCCCGGTAAGCGGGATAAAGTTTCTCCATATGAACAGAACAAAAGTATTTGGCTAGTCGAAAAGTTTTCTCGTTAACCGGGATAACTTTTGCCGATATGAACAGGCCCTAAGTCTCTGCTTTTTATACTATAATGTCTAAACTCTAAAGTATGATACCCAAAAATTTTGTTGCTTTCAATTAGGGAAAGGAGACAAAAGAGTAAATCTTCTATAATGACGATGATTTATAAACCTGCTGCTCCCGATCATAAAACAAGGTGAAATTTTAGACTTAAGAAATTCATTCTTAAGAAATTCACACGTTGTTTTCCGCACTTTGTGTGAGAAAGAAAATAGATTGATGTATACTTTTCCGTCTCAATGATAGATCTGCGGAGGATGACGTGTTTCTTGCTATCGCATCATCTTCCAATAGAATACTTCACTGGGAGAAGACATATAAGAAAAATAAATTCTGGCTTCCTCTGGTATGCTATACTGTTGAGCGTTCTTTTGCTGTGATCTGTTGCAAATAAACCTCGTTAATTTGTTTAATTCTTTATTTTTCTTCAGGAATTGTTTATAGAAAATACTGATGTCAAACTCAGATACGACCTATTAGATTGTGGCATCAGTGTCTGCTCTACAGAGGTAACGGTTTTTACACTTTGATCAATAAAATTTTTTAAATTAACCCTTCTTTTGTACCTAATCAGGGTGTTAGCCAGAAAAAACGTTTTGTCCGTTAAACGTAAATTGGGAAAGTTTTTTTGACCGATCAAAGTCCTTGTGTAGGAATAAATATAGTGCTTTTTTCCAACGTGTTTCTCCTTAGATGCAAACAACGGTAGCTTGGTTTTGTACATTTCATTTCCGGTGAATGAACACTGAAAAATGCACCCGATGGCACTTCGTTTTGTATATTCCATTTCCGGTGATGCACACCGATTACACTTTGTTTTGTACATTTCATTTCAGTGAATACACACCCAATATGAATGAAACGCGATACATTTTGATATAATCTTCTTCTTAATCTTCTTCTTTTCTGTGATATAATAATATAAAATCAATTAACGCAATTTCTCATCAGAAAAATGAAAATCTTCCAGTAGACCCAGTTGGGAAAGCCCCTTAGCTACTTCAATTGGGAAGAGTCCGTCAAACGGACAGTATATGGGCTAGCTAACACCCTGCTAATTCTGCATTGCTTTATGGAGGAACCACAGCTTCTGTCCAATAATCTAATATTCAACGTTAATTTTCAGGTGCCGCAATTATTTACGGATAATTTTGACTACCAAACCAAGGATGACTTTGTCCGTGGAATAATAATTAATGAAGAGGTCGGACATAAATTGTTTGCTTGAAAGTGTTTTGAATTAAACAAACCGGTAAATTAATCTCTTTCGTTTCTTATTATCCGCGCAGGTGATGGGAAATAAAATTCACTGTTATGTAGTGGATGACGAATATGGCGCTAGAATAACAAATCTTCAAATGTATGATTCTATAAGGTAGCGTCCTTTTTTGAGCTTTTATTTTACCAAGTTCTGCAATTCTGGTGTTTGAAAACCAAGTTCTGCCATTTGAAAGGGAGTTCTGGCATTTGAAAAGGCAGTTGTGGCGTTTGTAATGGGAGTTCAGGCATTTGAAAAGAGAGTTATGGCATTTAAAAAGGAAGTTAAGGCTTTTGAAAAGGGAGTTATGGCGTTTGAAAAGGGAGTTATGGCGTTTGAAAAGGAAGTTCTGGCATTTGAAAACCAAGTTCTACCATTTGAAAAGGGAGTTTTGCCATTTGAAAAGGGACTTCTGGCATTTGAAAAGAGAGTTTTGCCATTTGAAAAGAGAGTTTTGCTATTTGAAAAGGGAGTTCTGCCATTTGATAAGGGACTTTTGCCATTTGAAAAGGGAGTTGTTTGAAAAGTGCTCAGATACCTTTACCTATTTCTAAAAAAAATTGTGTTTTTAGTAAGGACATAATTCGTCGTTGGGCTTATCCAGTCGTTCCAGACAATGGCATACTCCACTCAGATGATAGATACATATATAACCGACATAATGTCTACTTTGGACCTGGGGTTCTTCTTGCAAGGTAACATTTCTAATTTTCAACATTTTATTCAAATTTTGCGCCAAAATATAGTCCAAAGACTAGTCTACAAAATACCATTAGTTACGTAATATTTTTTCACTTTTCTTTCTCGCTAGGGATTGTATATTAGAGCAAGATGTGGTCGTTGGGTCTGGGTCTAGTGTTGGTACGGGAAGTGTCATACGAAATTCAGTCATTGGAAAACAGTGTGTCATAGGTATTGAATTGGTGTAGAAAAATGTACCAAATGAGTCTATGTGTGTTCCTATACGTACTTCCTGCCATTAATACCCATATGTACGAACGGTACTGTGTAGATATCTTATATACACTAGATAGTGCATCTAATTATTCCGCAATTCAAAAATTGAAGCCGTGATTGCAGACTCAAGATATTCCCATGAAATGAGAAGACATTTTCAAACTATTCAAATGATGAAAGTTATTGTTGTTTTTTAAGCGTTTATTAGCGAGTGGGAAACTCCAACATGGCCGCCATCTATTCAAATGGGGGTAACCGGTGGAATATTCTTGGCTTCAATTTTACTAAAAGAGATGCGCTATCTAGAATTTATATAAGATATCTATGTACTGTGGTAGTTCATAAGGCATATTTTAAACTTGACTCTCAAGAATTCAAATCGCGTTTTAAACCTCCCATTTTTGTGCGCAAACTGTTTTAATGCGGCTAGAAAAAAACTGCTTTTATGCATTTGGAAGTTTTATTTTGAGAATAGCTTTAGTGTTCAAGAAATCGGAAGACCCTGTGAACATGCACACCAAATTTTATGTTTATTGGCTATTAGAAAATGACGTACTTACACACTGTATATAATGCTTGTGATGTTACTCTGAGTTGAAAAATATGCCTGGCCACGGTGGGAATCGAACCTACGACCTTTGGAATACTAGCCTGAGTACATTACACCAACACAGAAAAAATCACACTGTATACTGTTTTTCCATATCTTCTTCAGGTGATAATGTTGTCATAGAAGATTCTTACATATGGGACGGTGTCAAAGTTGAAAACAACTGCCGAATATCAAAATCGTTACTCTGTGATAAAGTCTTAGTTAAACAGTACGTTTTCGCTGTCTTATCTCCTAAAGTGTCGAAGCTTTGAATTTATCCAGTAAGCAACATAGTAAATCATTATTTTCTTTCTCTATTTTAGAAATGTCACTACTCAAAAAGGTTGCATCTTATCTTTTAATGTAAGTTTAAAGTTAATGATAATTGTGAATTCTTGTCTCGTTTGTCTCATTATCAATGTTATATTTTAAGGTCGTCGTTGGTCCAGACATTGACTTGAGACCAGGGGTTAAGATAACTTTTAAAAAAGCTGAGAATAAGGACGACTTTGGTATGGGTGAACTGTCGTTGGTGGACAAAAGTAACGACGGTATATGTGTACAAGAATGAAGCTACTTAACAATTATTCGCCGAAGGCGAGGTGATTATCGGTGAATAAAAACCGAGACGAAGTCGAGGTTTTTATTCACGATAATTACCGAGCCTGAGGTGAATAATTGTTTTAGTATAATTTCATAGGTGATTATTTGGAAAAAAATAAGAAAATACACATTTCTTCGTCATTTAATTGACGAAAAAGGCTTCGGCCGCCATTTTGAAAATCGCTAGGTGATTATCGCGTAATAATCACCTCAACGGCAACCAATCAGCGTGGAGAATTTTCAATAATCACCTATGTAATTATACTAAAGTTAATTATTATACTGTTATGGCCGTTAATTTTATGTTCTGTCTAAATTTGGATAGATCTGTGTCAATTTGTGCACGTCCAGGTTCTTTACTGTTTTGATCTATTTTTCGAAGTTGTCAGGTCTTCCTAGCCTTGTTTATTATGTTTCAGTAGCTATTTTATATTCTATGAATTGTTATATGCATGTTTTATAAAATTTGCACGCAGCTAATTAAGTATGTTTGTGAAATACAATACAACGAAAACTTCGAGGAATTTGTTTGCTTGGCTTCAAGTTTCAATTCGTGTGATGACTTTGAACAGGTAAATCGAAGTTTTCGTTGTGTTTTATTTGTGTTTTATTATCTATATATTTAAAATTAAAGGGCCCACAGTAATTGGTACCATACTGTTGTGGTGACCCTGCCATGAATGCATGATAATGGCGAAGTTAAATAAATAAATTTACACACTATACTTAACTTTTGCCTAAAACTGTCGCATGCAACCTGCTTACAACTTGAGTTGTACTGTGTAAATCAAGCACACAACTCCCTTACATTATACAGCATTTAATATATTGTCGTAGTTTCCATGTGACAGTTTTAGGCAAAGGACGTGTTAGGTAAATCGACCCTTAACAGATTGTATTACACAGGGTTCGTACAAAACTTGAAAATGCTTGAAAGTCCTTGAATTTGGAAACAAAAATTCAAGGCCTTGAAGATCCTTGAGTTTATAAAGAAGTGCTTGAAAGTCCTTAAATATTTTCTGAAAGTGTTCGGCATTAAGAAGTGGACATTTTGTAAATTGATTTTGTTCATGTCTTACAAGGCCAGGGTTTGAAATTCATTTAAGGTGCCGTGTGAACAGTTTAACGTCACTTTTTACTGATTCGAACGCCTTCTTTTCAGCCTTTAGTCCTTGAATTTCCTGATAAATGGCCTTGAACGTCCTTGAACGTAACTCTTCCTGACCTGTGCGAACCCTTACGAATCCTGTCCTAACTAATTTTGGTGCATGACCAAAGGACAGCGGCTGCAAACCATATAGATATCTTATATACACTAGATAGTGTATCTAATTATTCTGCAATTCAAAAATTGAAGCCGTGATTGCAGACTCGGGATATTCTCATGAAATGAGAAGACTCGTATATGTTTTCTATTTCTTAAACAGGGAACTTAAACATTAAGTTAAACCTATTCCAAATACATTTTCAAACTATTCAAATGATGAAAGTTATTGTTGTTTTTTAAGCGTTTAATAGCGAGTGGGAAACTTCAACATGGCCGCCATCTATTCAAATGGGGGTAACCGCTGGAATATTCTTGGCTTCAATTTTACTGATGCGCTATCCAGTGTATATAAGATATCTATTCTGTAAACAGATAAAAAACACAGTTCCTGCTCTGCTAAGAACGACGACCTGTAATCTAAATCAGTAAACCATTTTGTTTGCAGAGTCGTGTAACGCGGAAGAGGTAGGAACCGATGGTCGTGGTTATGTTTGGAAGAAAGAAGTTGATTCTGACGGAGAAGACGAACAGGAATTGATCGACTTTTGGGGTAAGAAAATTCACTTGACTTTTTCTTATGAAGTGATAATTCGCTGTATGTATAGAAGTGCTTGTTGCCCGTAACAGCCGTCTGTATCGTGTGTGTTGTGTTTCTTGTCAGGTCACAGCAGTGCGAATATAAGTGAGGAAGAGAGCAGTGATGATTCGATGTCTGCAGGAAGTCCTACATCAAGTCCTCCTCCAGAGGATGCGAAATGTAAGAAATGACTTGACTGAATGCTTTGGTGTACGCATGGGATCCCTAAGAGATGATTCTTACTGGACCTCTAGGGAGAACAGTTTAGAACTGATAGAGCTATCCAGTATAAATAAAGTTAGTTTAGTTAAGGTTTCCTCCTGTAGTAACACTGGATCAATAAGAGATGATCCTTCCTGGACCTCTAGGGAGAACAATTTATAACTGATTGAGCTATTACTGGACCTCTAGGAAGGACAGTTCAGAACTGGTAGAGCTATACAGTATATGAATAAAGTTAGTTTAGTTTAGGTTTCCTCCTGTAGAAACACTGGATCAATGAGAGATGATCCTTACTGGACCTCTAGAGAGAACAGTTTAGAACTGATAGAACTATCCAGTATAAATAAAGTTAGTTTAGTTTAGGTTTCCTCCTGTAGTAACACTGGATCAATAAGAGATGATCCTTACTGGACCTGTAGGGAGAACAGTTTAGAACTGATGGAGCAATCCAGTATAAATAAAGTTAGTTTGTCTTGATAAAATATTGTTATTTTAAACTTCATAGTGTTCTATAATGAAGTTTTGGACACAGTTCGTAATGGCATTGCGAATAAAGTCAACCCTGATAACTTGGTGCTGGAAATCAATGCATCAAAGTAAGTACAACAGACCTACTGTACAATACAACAGGATGATGAAAACCATGCAGAGAATCTAGCGACTATAGTCCGCGGTTCGAACACACGAAGCGCATTTTGAACACATCAGTTTGGACCACATATTCAACGAATGTGGAACGCGTGTTGAACGTACAGTATGTGCAATGCATTTATGTAGACCTCATGGACACACGTAAAAATCTCACAACTTGTTATTATAACAAGATGTGTTCGCAACAGGCTTGTAGCAAGCTTGTCAACAAGTTGTAACAATGCTGTTATTTTATGAAGTTGCTACAAGGTTGTCACTCACAACTAGTTGACAAATTGTTGAATTGCAGGACAATAACAAGTTGTTGGGACAACTTGTAGCAAGTCTGTTGAGCTGAACAACCTTGTAGCAGTTTGTCAACAAGCTGTTGACAACTTGTCAACAAGCTGGGAACAAGCAGTGCGAACATATCCTGATGACAAGTTGTTGGAACATCATTGCTACAAGTCTGCTGCAGGTTTGTTACAACTTGTGCGTTTTTACGTGGAACGCGTCCGGTAAACCGCGTGTAGAAACCACCTTGACCGCATGTAGAACGCATGTAAACCGCGTGTAGAAACCACCTTGACCGCATGTAGAACGCATGTACACCGCGTGATAGAAAATGTGTATTTTTTATAGATATGCGTACAATGTGACATTTGAAGAACTCAATCACGCTGTAACAAAGACATTCTTGGAATGTATATTCTCAGGTCTTACTGCATATCAACAAGATGTCCTCAAAGATATGAAAAAGGTTCGGTTGTTTAGATCTTAAAATTACTCACTATCAGTTCTAAACTGTTCTTCCTAGAGGTCCAGTAAGGATCATCTCTTATTGATCCAGTGTTACTACAGAAGGAAACCTAAACTAAACTAACTTTATTTATACTGGATAGCTCTATCAGTTCTAAACTGTTCTTCCTAGAGGTCCAGTGAGAGTCATCTCTTATTGATCCAGTGTTACTACAGGAGGAAACCTAAACTAAACTAACTTTATTTATACTGGATAGCTCTATCAATTCTAAACTGTTCTTCCTAGAGGTTCAGTAAGGATCATCTCTTATTGATTCAGTAGTACTACAGAAGGAAACCTAAACTAAACTAACTTTATTTATACTTGATAGCTCTATCAGTTCTAAACTGTTCTTCCTAGAGGTCCAGTAAGAACCTGTGTAATGCAGGAATCGAACCATGGTACACATTATCCATTGTACATAACTTAACTACTTCTAATTATAATTTCAGGCTGTAAGCCATTGTCATCCGTTATTTGCTCACTACATGAAAGAAGCTGAAAACCAACGGGTTGGAATCCTGGCCGCAGAGGTGTGTATATACTACTTTCCCTCAACAGTTAGCTCCATTATATTTCGAGCGAGAACTCGCGTTCCAGTTTGCCTGAGGTATAAATGTTTGCTTTTTGTTTGTGCAGGAATTTTTTATTCAGAACGAAGAAATGTCGCCAGCGTTTCAGACATTCTTACATTTAATGTACGATCGGGAGGTTTTTGATGAAGGCGTCATTCTTGATTGGTTCAAATCGCCTTCGCAAGATGACTCGCTTGGAAATGAAAATCAGGAAAAGATTCGGGAACAGGTAGGACGTACAGACACAACTTGTAACAAACCTGCAGCAAACTTATTGTACCCTACTGCAGTTTCAACAACTTGTTATCAGACTTATCAGGATGTGTTCAAGTAGTTGTTCTCAGCTCGTTGACGTAATATATGAATAACGAGAGCGAGTGTTTCACGAGGATATCCAAACACGAGAAAACAATGTTTGAGTGTTTTCATACATTGTTTTCGAGTGTTTGGATATCCCGGTGAGACACTAGCTCCAGTTGTTTATATGGCTTCTCAAATGAATCGAGACGTAACAGAATGTTTTCCTTTCCTGTTTTGAATAGAATTCTTAACCAAGCATAACGTAATTAGGAATTCTATTCAAGTAATTTTGCATGTGTAATTAAGATATTTGATGAAAACACAGTGACTTTCATCAAATATCTTAATTACGTATGCAGTTAAACTCCTGTGGTGCTGTGTCTGACGATGTTTGACCGCGGTATCCAAACAGCATCTTGTGACGGGATGCTTACATGCTATTTGGTTTAATTACTCATGAATTATTAATGAATTTGATAAATGTTGCTACAAGGTTGTTTGACTCTATTTAGTTGATACAAAGTTATTCTAACAAACTTGTTATCGTTGTGTAATTCAACAACTCGTTAACAAGTTGCGAGTGATAACCTTATAGCAACTTGATGAAATTACAACATTGTTACAAGTTTATGACAAGCTTGCTACAAGCCTGTTGAGTGCACATCTTGTTGACAAGACTACTTGTGCAATCGCTTACAGAAAATCATGTGTATTGAGAAATAATTTTTGATCTTATTTTTCATATTTTTTGTATAGGTATCTCGGTTTATAACGTGGCTCGAAGAAGCAGAAGAGGAATCAGACGATTAGTTCATGATATATAAAGGTATGTTCGTGTATTCTACATCAACTATACCATGAAGGACTGGCTGGAACGTTGACAGGTCGGCCTGGGACGTTGAAAGTTCGGCATTTGGTCGGCATCGCCGAATACCAACCACGTTATATTAAATCCTGGTTCACACTAATAGCAATCTTGTCGGCGATTTTGTATTTCTGACGGATGGAAATGAGTGAACTCGCACACAAAAGAAAAAAGTCACTTTTCACATAGTTCGTAGCGGTCTTTGATTTCCTTGAAAGTCTTTAGATATGAATGTAGGGTCTTTAAGGTATTTGAAAAGTGTTTGAATTGGGTGAAAAAGCAAAGAAAGTCTCTAAAATCTTTAAATTCTTTAGTGAGAGTGTTTGATTATACGATTTCCTGGCTAATAAAATAGATTGATTGAAGAGCAAGGTTTTTGCAAATATCGACGAAAAGGTGCATTTTAGGATGTGTTTGACGGACTAATTACCTGGTAAAAATGGTGCTTACACTCGCAATTTTTCGACAGCCGATTGCTCTTCAAGGTCTTTGAAAAGTCTTTGAAAGTAGGCAGAAAATAGCTTTGAAAGTCTTTAAATTTTTTTGGTCTTGGAGACTACGAACCCTGTTTCAGAAGTAAACAATTCTCTAAGTCTTTTGCATGTCATTCATCCATCACATTTGCCAGGAGGAAAGAACTCGCCGACAGAATTGCAGTGTGCATGAACCAGATTTAAATGCGAGTTTGCAACCGAAACACCAGGTCAATGAGACAATGTGTTAACATTTTGGCATCTCATGCACATATGGACATAATTTGTAAATGAGAATGTTAAGCTTCCTATTATTTATTAATCAATTATGAACGAGCAAGTTGCAAATGCTGTCTATGTCCTTTGAATTGCAGTGCGAACGAAGAAGCCCCACCCCCCGAATAACGGCAAATTACCTTTGAACGATAACCCTATCATAAATAACCGAAAAGCATATTGTTTATCTAATTTTGCAATTTTGAAAGTGTAATTAAAATGTGATCTTATTGTATTAATACTACAATTAGTAACCCAAATCAATATGTTACTGACTTCAACAAGCAGCACAAAATGTAAACTAGAATCCGGACAAGTTCCAAGAATGAAAAATGTTTTTTCTTGATGGTTTTGTTTCTCGTTATATCTTTGCTCAATCTTCCAAAAACTATAATACTCCCACACACATACACATCAATTATTTTGCATGGTGTGTTTTTAATTTCGTCTCGCGCCAAGCGCAAACAAAGCTTTATTTAAGGACAACATGCGTTACGGAAATGGATTTCAAAATTTCGTTTCTAGATTTTACCTAATTGGTCGTATTAAAGGCATACCGAAACCTTTTTGAATACAAGGTTTTCATTTTTAGTTAACATTTCATAAATCTTTACTGTAAGCAGTTAAAAAGATTGAAAGTTAATATTCGTTTCGAGGTTATAATTAATGTGACCACTGTTTGTTTTCCTCTAAAACAAAAGCGATAATTGACGTCTCTTTAAAAATTATACAATCACAGTTGTAGCTAGTTCAGCTGCCTACATGAATAAATGCATGATGGTATATTTAATCAAATAATATCCGTAGCTATACGTTTCAGAAGAATACTGTGAAATACTGTTCCGGCATTTATGTGGCATTTTTGTACTAAAAACAAGGGAATATAGAGGGAGAAAAGTGGTAAAAGGATTAATCGTTTGGTTTAATTAACAATGCCGATTTTGTTTGCTAAGTTGAGTCTATATTGGTCAGATATTTTTGGTTTATGAGGGACTTTGGATTGTAAACATTCAAGAGCTTGTGGGGATATTGCATTAAAATTTGAGATAGAAGATAAGAGCTTATATAAAGTGTGGCCAAGCGATAAATGTGACAAGAATTAAAGCTGAAAGAATTCTCAGAGTTTTACAAGTGGCTCGTGAAGCGCGACCTTAATGCAAAGATAAAATTGGTGATTTGAACAGTTCAAGTCTTTCCTGATTGCTATTATAAGCATTATACCCACAGTTGATAAACGATTGTGGTGGAAAAAGCTGTTACAGTAACGTTCCAGAAATCTGTGGTCAACAAAGTGAGGAAAATTTCAGAATTCTTCAATTGCTTCGTAAGGTAACCAAATTAGAACTATTTAACTGGCTCTTTGGCCAAGACAGTTTCGTTGGTGTTGCTATATATTTGGGCAAATACACGCCGTACTCCTTTGTATGTAGGGTTTAAGTTACGAATTTACTGCCATGCCAGTAGTTTTTGAGCTAAATTGGTAAAATAATCGGTTCCTCTTACTTTTAAAGCTGGTTGCTATATTTTGGTTTATATAACCAACTTTGCATGGTTTCATATTTCGTATTCTGAGAGCGTTTTGTTGAATGACAGATCCTTCAATTAAATCAGAAACGAAAATATTTGCCAAGAAAGTAAATTACGAATTTGCTGAACAACAATTGTTTGGGATTTATTCATTTTGAAGAGGTTTTTATTGAATTACAGGATTGTACGTCACGTCAGAGACCTGAAGGATTTGCTGTAAAAGTCAACGATCTGCCGAGATTTACAGATTATTTTTTTGGGGGGATGATTTATTTATATTATACATTCTGGTCGTTATGATTTCTATGTGATGATCAACGACAGTACAATTGTCACTATGTATCCAACATTCACCCTGAGTACCCAGCCCAACACCTCTGCAACCAGTGGCGACCATGTTATCCAGTATATGATTCCAGTTTTCGTGTGTATCGCCGTGGTGGCTTTATTTGGTAACTTACTCGTCGTGTTTCTATTTGTACGAAATCGCGGATGGTTGAAAAAGGCTCACAGTAATTTAATTCTGGCGCTGGCAATTACGGACATTCTGACTGCAGTTTGTGTACTATGTGTGCCCCTGTTTATCCATGAAAGCGATGTTTATGCCGTGCCACAGAATGTGTTTCTACGCGAGCTATATTGTCGTGTGGTATGGTCCCATTATATAGTATTCTCGCTGGGAGTCACGTCTGTCTATTTGTGCCTATCCTTAGCCATAGAACGTTGGCTAGCTATCAAAAAACCTCTCTTTTACAAACAGCATTTGAATTCAAAACGGATAATCTGTCTATTGGTTGCGATTCCATGGATTGCTGGCTTCGCGTTCGAGAGTTCAGCCATAATACGGACGACTGGAGTAGTTTTACCTGACGGTACGACGAGCTGCCGATGGAATCCGGACACGTCCGAATGGAGTACTCGGGTAACAATCGCTGTAGTCTCGTTTTGTGGAATGATTCTAATACCTGGGATACTAGTTGTCATGGCGTACGTGCATATTTTGGTAAAAATTAAAGTGACTCTAAGACGAGACTCTGTTCGACGCCGAGACTCTCAAAGACGCAGCGAGACAGATTTGAAACGGGTCACCCTTATGGCAGGGTTGGCTTCGGTTGTTTTGCTCATTTGTTGGCTCCCTGGGCAATTCTATTTCATGTTATCTCAGATGGGGTACCTCAAGGTTCACGTTATGCCCCACCGTTGGCTTAACGTGCTTGCGTTGTCCAGTTCGTGCTGGAATCCGCTCATATATTGTTTTTCAAATTCACAGTACCGAGAGGGGTTTAAGAATGAGTTGTCGAGGTTCTTGTGTTTGTGCAAGCTTGTGAGACACGGCTCGTACAGTTTCAGACGAAATTCTGGACAAGCTGTACAGCATTGGTCAACTCCTGTGTTTGAGAGAAAACTAGAAGAAAATTCGTCTGGACCTGTTGGTACTCTTGTTTGAACAGGAATTGCATGAAAAAGAACGACGACATTGATCTCTGAAAGGTGGTGTGTAGCGCTCGGTAAAACCTCTTTTGAAAAAAATTTGGGCTGGTTTAATCCTGGTTTAGACTATCAAAGTTTCTGTGATCACAGTAGCAATGGATGATTCCATCTGTAGACTAAATTTTGATCTCGGCAAGACGAACAAAATCCATCGCCACAGCTAGAAAGAACATGTTAAAATTAGTCACATTGCAAAGTTTCGCCGCGAAATGTTGTAAAATGCGGAAAATATAGCCCTGTGAAATTTGCAAATTTTGTATTAATTTGTATCACGCGCGGGAAAATGCACCACATTTAAGCCCGTTCTCCACTAGGCGAATTTTTTCGCGCGACGCGAAGCGAAAAACAAATCTTGGCAATGTGATTGGTCAGCGAAAAAATTCGCCGCGAAAAAGTTGGATCAGTTCCTACTTTTTTACTGTTCGCGCGAACAAATTCGCCTAGTGGAAAACGGGCTTTAGACCGAAAGCGGCGCATTTCCCGCGCGTAATACAAATTAATACAAAATTTGCAAATTTCGTAAGGCTATATTTTCCTCGTTTTACAACATTTGGCAACCAAACTTTGCAATTTTACTAATTTTAACATGTTCTTTCTAGCTGTGGTGATGGATTTTGTTCTTCTTGCCTAGATCAAAATTTACAGTAGTCTGTATAGCTGGAATCACCATTTGCATAGGACTGACTATCGCCCGTATTCTAAAAGCACACGTTTAATCGGAGCTTTTCTCGAGTGTCATTGCTGTTTTTGAATAACTGGAGGGCTAGTGTCGTACCTTACTATGTGACTACACGCCCCCCAGCTATTCAAAAACAGCATTGACACTCAAGAGAAGCTCAGATTGAACCTCCACTTATTGAATGTGAGTGAGTGAGCTTTTAGAATACAGGCGTATACGTGTTTTTTGTTTAACACTGAGTGTCTGATTCAGTTCCCTCAAACATTTCTTACAAATCCTTCAAAACTTAGAACTTTATAGCTATGCAAAATTCCTACTGTGATCACAGAAACTTTGATAGTGTAAACCAGACTTAAGGAACCGGTCATTATTTATGGAGGGGGTGGCACCGAAGAGAAAAGGGTTGGGTAAACTAAATTTTGAGTGAATAAAAGATTGGGTAAATGAAAAACAAAACAACTCAAGGGTTGGGTAATAAAAAGTTATTGTCATTTTCAAAGCATGACTCACTTAAATATTGGAGACTGAAAAGCAATGTCAACAGTCGTATGTCAATACAATATGTAAATCAATCAGACTCACTATCTTGATCATTTTCCGATTTGTTGGGAGACAAATGGTGTCTCCAAAGAAAGTACATGTACATTCAACATGAAAGTTAATTATCAAACTTGTGTCACAGAAGTGGTAAAGCCTAAAGGACATGTGTGACAACTGAATGGTATCCTTTTGTAAAGGTTTTGGCAAGGGGTGGGTATTTATTTTTTAATTGATATTTGAGGTTTGGTAATCAAATTTTTTGCTTTCTAATGGTTGGGTCAGGAAAATTTTTACCAGGAAAAACATTTCTCTTCGGTGCCACCTCCCACCATAAATAATGACCGGTCCCTAAAGATGAAGTGAAATATGGCAGATAAATAGAGCAATATAAGGACGTCAGATTCAGTCTTGGCTGCCCATTTCGCAAAAGATTAAAGTAACCTTATCAGAATATTGCACTGTCGATAAGCTATTCATCAAATATATTTGATTCGAAAACTATCATCTCTTTGATGATTTTCAGATTACGACAAGAAATTTGTCCAGTAATTAAAGAAGCGCAAATATCCGCGCGCGTAGGCGATTGTTATAGGCTTGCTAAGAATAGCATGCTTCATAAATCATAGGAAATTAATAGGGTTCTGGCTCTGTGACCGCTGTTTATTTCGGCATGCCAATATTTAATTGTCTGATTATAATTTCATCTCAATCGATTGGCAGATGAGTGCGTCATGTTTGACTAGTCGCAAAAGATACAAATTGCATTGTCAAACATAATTATGCATTACTATAAATAAACTCTTGACAACTTTGTCATAATATTGGGGTCTTCATCGGGCATTCATGAAATATATTGCTCGTGATTCAAACGACTTTAGTTATCGTGTATTTGAACACTTTCAAGATTAAGATAAAAAGTTGAAGGATGAAAATAAGTGCGCAGAAGAATCTTTTGTATGTTACGTACGTTTTTGCAAATAGACTTAAAAGTGTGTTTTGTGCTTTATCTGTAAAATTATGCTAAAATGAAGAGATCTTAGTTGGTGTGCCAAAGAGAAATATCTGAAGTTCAGTAAGGCCACGGTCAATGAAGTGAAACAAAGAGCTTAGCTCATTAACATTAGGTTCGGCACATGAAAAGTTCGACGTTTGACCCTGGCCCAATTTTGCTTATATTGCTGCTGCATGTATAAATATGGCGGCAATTTTACGGCATCGATGATAATTGTATTTAAAAAACTCATTAATAATTCAGGAGGAAAACACGAAGAAAAATCATAAGCATGTCGTATCTTTATATGTGATAAAAAATCATGTTAATTTACATAAACTTTAGCTTTGATTTTCTCGGTTTAGACAAAGTTTATTTTAAAAATTACTTCGCTAATGTACTCATCAGATGGGTAATTTTTTAAGCCATTTAAAGCACTTGTAGTCGTGTTTTATCACTCCTACGCGTGCTTTAAATAGTACTTAAATTCAAAATATTTAACTATTATTTTGTGTTTCTCAATCGCTAGATACATTTAAAAAGAATGCTAACTGTTTAAACTACAAAATAAAGTTAAAACATTGAAAAAAATAGCTTCTTAAAAGTTTGGCTAAAATATTTAAGGCTCTTATACAAGAGCGGAAGGCAGTTCATTCGCCGAAGCACCTTGGCAACCTGCTCTTATAAAAATTTCCGAAAGCTTTTTTCGAAACAAACCATTGGTGAACGCGTATAAAGCAGGATTTAAACAGGAATTGAAGAACGCTAAAAGGTTTAAAACTTGATGTAGGGTCGTCTCCGTTGGCGCGTATCCCAACTGAGCCGCCAGCGCGTATGTTTGACAGGGCAGCCAGCAAATGACCACAGCAAACGTTGCGCACGCAGCCATTTTCGTGGCTCGCCTCAGAGCCAGTTTATAGAAGGTTGACGTAGGACGCACACTCTCGGCAGGAATAAAACTCTGAAACATAAATTAAAACATGAGATTAGTTTTCGCCTGGAAAAATTTAGGATGCTTTGCAAGTCTAGCATAACAATAGTGCCATACACTCATGATCCAGTGATCAGAATGTTCCATTGTCTTTTCATTGTTTTGAAAATCCCACTGTTCTCCATGTCATCCAGTCATGATCCAGTGATCAGAATGTTCCATCGTCTTGTCATTGTTTTGAAAATCCCACTGTTCTCCATGTCATCCAGTCATGATCCAGTGATCAGAATGTTCCATTGTCTTTTCATTGTTTTGAAAATCCCACTGTTCTCCATGTCATCCAGTCATGATCCAGTGATCAGAATGTTCCATCGTCTTTTCATTGTTTTGAAAATCCCACTGTTCTCCATGTCATCCAGTCATGATCCAGTGATCAGAATGTTCCATTGTCTTTTCATTGTTTTGAAAATGTCACTGTTCTCCATGTCATCCAGTCATGATCCAGTGATCAAAATATTCCATCATCTTTTCATTAATTGTTTTTGTTTGTGGAAACACCACGTAAATTTATTACTGCAAAGCTTTCGATCCGTAAGCCCGGATCTTCATCAGTGCTAATAATATGTGACTTGTTTAATTCACACGCTCTTTTTATATACAAGAGTGTCGTGATCTTTTGGCTCGCATCATTTGAAATTTAATTAAACGGCACATCAACCACGTCATTTCAAACGTAGTGAAATCATCTTTTCATTGTTTTGAAAATCTTGCTGTTCTCCATGCCATTCAATCATGATCCAGTGATCAGAATGTTCCATTGTCTTTTCATTGTTTTGAAAATCTTGCTGTTCTCCATGCCATTCAATCATGATCCAGTGATCAGAATGTTCCAATGTCTTTTCATTGTTTTGAAAATCACACTGTTCTCCATGTCATCCAGTCATGATCCAGTGATCAGAATGTTCCATTGTCTTTTCATTGTTTTGAAAATCCCACTGTTGTCCATGTCATCCAGTCATGATCCAGTGATCAGAATGATCCATTGTCTTGTCATTGTTTTTAAAATCCCACTGTTCTCCATGCCATTCAATCATGATCCAGTGATCAGAATGTTCCAATGTCTTTTCATTGTTTTGAAAATCCCACTGTTCTCCATGTCATCCAGTCATGATCCAGTGATCAGAATGTTCCATCGTCTTTTCATTGTTTTGAAAATCCCACTGTTCTCCATGCCATCCAGTCATGATCCAGTGATCAGAATGTTCCATCGTCTTTTCATTGTTTTGAAAATCCCACTGTTCTCCATGCCATCCAGTCATGATCCAGTGATCAGAATGTTCCATCGTCTTTTCATTGTTTTGAAAATCTCACTGTCCAGTCATGATCCAGTGATCAGAATGATCCAATGTCTTTTCATTGTTTTGAAAATCTTGCTGTTCTCCATGCCATCCAGTCATGATCCAGTGATCAGAATGTTCCATTGTCTTTTCATTGTTTTGAAAATCCCACTGTTCTCCATGCCATCCAGTCATGATCCAGTGATCAGAATGTTTCATCGTCTTTTCATTGTTTTGAAAATCCCACTGTTCTCCATGCCATCCAGTCATGATCCAGTGATCAGAATGTTCCATCGTCTTTTCATTGTTTTGAAAATCTCACTGTCCAGTCATGATCCAGTGATCAGAATGATCCAATGTCTTTTCATTGTTTTGAAAATCTTGCTGTTCTCCATGCCATCCAGTCATGATCCAGTGATCAGAATGTTCCATTGTCTTTTCATTGTTTTGAAAATCCCACTGTTCTCCATGCCATCCAGTCATGATCCAGTGATCAGAATGTTCCATCGTCTTTTCATTGTTTTGAAAATCTTGCTGTTCTCCATGCTATCCAGTCATGATCCAGTGATCAGAATGATCCAATGTCTTTTCATTGTTTTCAAAATCCCACTGTTCTCCATGCCATCCAGTCATGATCCAGTGATCAGAATGTTCCATCGTCTTTTCATTGTTTTCAAAATCCCACTGTTCTCCATGCCATCCAGTCATGATCCGGTGATCAGACTGTTCCATTGTCTTTTCATTGTTTTGAAAATCCCACTGTTCTCCATGCCATCCAGTCATGATCCAGTGATCAGAATGTTCCATTGTCTTTTCATTGTTTTGAAAATCCCACTGTTCTCCATGTCATCCAGTCATGATCCAGTGATCAGAATGTTGCATTGTCTTTTCATTGTTTTGAAAATCCCACTGTTCTCCATGTCATCCAGTCATGATCCAGTGATCAGAATGTTCCATTGTCTTTTCATTGTTTTGAAAATCTCACTGTTCTCTATGCCATCCAGTCATGATCCAGTGATCAGAATGTTCCATTGTCTTTTCATTGTTTTGAAAATCCCACTGTTCTCCATGCCATCCAGTCATGATCCAGTGATCAGAATGTTCCATTGTCTTTTCATTGTTTTTAAAATCCCACTGTTCTCTATGCCATCCAGTCATGATCCAGTGATCAGAATGTTCCATTGTCTTTTCATTGTTTTGAAAATCTCACTGTTCTCCATGCCATCCAGTCATGATCCAGTGATCAAAATGTTCCATTGTCTTTTCATTGTTTTGAAAATCTCACTGTTCTCCATGCCATCCAGTCACGATCCAGTGATCAAAATGTTCCATTGTCTTTTCATTGTTTTGAAAATCCCACTGTTCTCCATGCCATCCAGTCATGATCCAGTGATCAAAATGTTCCATTGTCTTTTCATTGTTTTGAAAATCTCACTGTTCTCCATGCCATCCAGTCATGATCCAGTGATCAGAATGTTCCATTGTCCTTTCATTGTTTTGAAAATCTCACTGTTCTCCATGCCATCCAGTCATGATCCAGTGATCAGAATGTTCCATTGTCTTTTCATTGTTTTGAAAATCTCACTGTTCTCCATGCCATCCAGTCATGATCCAGTGATCAGAATGTTTCATTGTCTTTTCATTGTTTTGAAAATCTCACTGTTCTCCATGCCATCCAGTCATGATCCAGTGATCAGAATGTTCCATTGTCTTTTCATTGTTTTGAAAATCCCACTGTTCTCCATGCCATCCAGTCATGATCCAGTGATCAGAATGTTCCATTGTCTTTTCATTGTTTTGAAAATCTCACTGTTCTCCATGTCATCCAGTCATGATCCAGTGATCAGAATGTTCCATTGTCTTTTCATTGTTTTGAAAATCTCACTGTTCTCCATGCCATCCAGTCATGATCCAGTGATCAGAATGTTCCATCGTCTTTTCATTGTTTTGAAAATCTCACTGTTCTCCATGCCATCCAGTCATGATCCAGTGATCAGAATGTTCCATTGTCTTTTCATTGTTTTGAAAATCCCACTGTTCTCCATGCCATCCAGTCATGATCCAGTGATCAAAATGTTCCATTGTCTTTTCATTGTTGTAAAAATCTCGCTGTTCTCCATGCCATCCAGTCATGATCCAGTGATCAGAATGTTCCATTGTCTTTTCATTGTTTTGAAAATCCCACTGTTCTCCATGCCATCCAGTCATGATCCAGTGATCAGAATGTTCCATTGTCTTTTCATTGTTTTAAAAATCTCGCTGTTCTCCATGTCATCCAGTCATAATCCAGTGATCAGAATGTTCCATTGTCTTTTCATTGTTTTAAAAATCTCGCTGTTCTCCATGTCATCCAGTCATGATCCAGTGATCAGAATGTTCCATTGTCTTTTCATTGTTTTTAAAATCTCGCTGTTCTCCATGTCATCCAGTCACGATCCAGTGCTCAGAATGTTCCATTGTCTTTTCATTGTTTTGAAAATCTGTTCTCCATGCCATCCAGTCAAGATCCAGTGATCAGAATGTTCCAAATTGTCTCTTCATTGTTCTGAAAATCCCACTGTTCTTCATGCCATCCAGTCATGACCCAGTGATCAGAATGTTCCACTGTCTTTTCATTGTTTTGAAAGTCCAAAATGACAGATGCAGCTTTTCTAAAATGGTGTGTTTTTTCACAGGTATCAACATCGTCGACTCCTGGCAGGTAGGCTTTAGCTGTTTCATTCTTGCTTCTAAATTTTGTAGAGCTGGAAAAACAAAGTTCGCAAGTACATTTCAATGTTTGAACTTAACAAATGTTCATACTCAATAATAATAACCAATTCAATGAAATACAAACCTTCTTTGTAGGCCACTGGACCAAGAACATTCCATTGAATTGTTAATTTCAACTCGAACTATGAACATTTGTTTACAATAGTTCAAACATTGAAATGTACTTGCGAACTTTGTTGCGAAGTGCACGCCCAATTTTTGAACTTGGAAACGTAATTGGCAAGTTTGCAACGAACTTGGGACTCGCGCGTTGAAAAGTGACTTGAAATCGACAACAACTGCTATCTCGGGAGGTTCAATAATAAGGGGGAAATGAGTTTTTCTTGTGACTAATTCTTGCGGTTTGTTTTTGCAGATCAAGACTAGCGAATGACGATGTAAGTAGATTAATCCATTCTTGCTATTGCCGTTCCCATAATCACGTCAAACGCGAGAGAATATTTAGCGACAATGGACGACTTGCGCTTTAGACTAAATTTTAATCTAAGTAAGAACAACGAAATCTATCACCACAGCTAGAACGAGCGTCTTGGAATTAGTAATATTACAAAGTTTGGTTGCGAAATGTTGTAAAATACGGAAAATATAGCCCTTCAAAGTTGGCAAATTTGTATACTTTTGTATTACGTGCGTGAATTGGTAACTAAATTAGTTACCAATTTCCACACGTAATAGAAATGTATGCAAATTTGCCAACTTCGCAGGGCGATATTTACAACATTTCGCAACCAAACTTTGCAGTTTTTCTAATTTTGATAACTTCTTTCCAAAAATATCCTTTGTTGCTATTCCCACATTAAAAATTTTTCTAAAGCGCAAGTCGTCCATTCGCAACGCAAATTATGTTACATAAAATTTGATTGGCTCTGCGACGTTTTACATTACGAGTTGTTGTTAGGAATTTGTTCCATGTCAAATCACTTTACGGGAAAGCCGCAAGTGTTTGTCTACGTTTGACGTCATTATGAAAAAGATCTCGCACCACTTGTCCCAAGTTGTGAACAAGTTTAACAAGTCCGATACAGTCATGATATAACAATATTATTACAACAACCTTTTGTGATCAACTTTGTAACATTCTTGTTTATATCCCGACTGCATCAGACTTGTTAGAACAACCTTGTACAAGTCTGGGGCCGGTTGTATAAAAACGTAGTTAGCGCTAACTGTAGTTAGCGTTAATCACTGTAGTTAAATCCTTAACTGTAATTAGTTAACTACATGACTTAACTGCGTTGCACAAAACGTAGTTAGTCGGATAGTTAACTAATCACGTAGTTAACTGTGCGTGGGGCTTGCGTGGGGCGTTTAAACACAAAATTACATAAAGTAAGCAGCGAGTAACGACCACTGACACACATTTTCAACATGATTGTGGACTCGTATTTTGCAAATAGGCGGGAATTTTATTCAAAACACTAGAAAACAATGAAAAATATACAAGGAAACAAGGAAAAACCGCCACAAAAATCATAAAAGAATGCAGTTTTTCCTTGAGATGTCTACGTTAAACCAAGGTATAGCTGTTTGGCAATTATATATCAGTGTTTCTTGGTGTAATGGACCATACTTCGTCTTCGAGAAATCGTCCTGTGCAAAAATATGTTCTGTTTTCGTAAAAACACCAAAGCGACAGCGTTTGAAGAGTTTATATTGTCAGGAAACATTCACAGGGAATATAGCGATTGAAAATGTCAGGTAACCGTTGCTTTTCATTGTTGTTTTACTGAAAAATGTTGTTCACTCCTATGCAAACGCTATTTTTAACTACATTTTGGACAGTTAACTATACCCTAAAGCATAGTTAACTTTAACTACTTTTTAACTGCAGTTAAGGCTAACTACACTTTTATACAACCGGCTTAACTACGTGATTAAAGTTAACTATTTTTTAGGGCTTTTTAACTACTTTTTAACTGCAGTTAGCGCTAACTACGTTTTTATACAACCGGCCCCATAATGCCATCAAGCTTGTTACAAGTTGTTAACAGCTTGTTTCAAACTTGTTACAACAACTGGGAACAAGCAGTGCGAACACAACTTGTCGACAGCTTGTGAACAGATTTGTAACAACTTGTTTGCAGACCTGGAACAACTTGTACGTTTTTACGTGTGTGGTTGTGAGTACAATGGCAAATTTACAGCTTGTCAACAAGATGTGTTCGCACTGCTTGTTCCCAGTTGTTGACAAGTCTGGAACAAGGTTGATGAAGCCAACAGACTCGCAACAAGTTGTTGCAACAAGTCTAATATCGTCTTCACGTCACAAGTTGATGACAGCAAGCTCGTAGCAACTTGTTACGTGAACAGCCTGTATTAATCTTGTTGGAACAACTTGTAGCAAGTCTGTTACCGTCATCAACCTTATAACAAGGTGATAACAACTTGTTCCAGACTTGTCGCAACAACTATGGAAACAAGCAGTGCGAACACATCCTGATATCGGCTTCACAACAACCTTGTTACGACTTGTTTCCAGATCTACGTTTTGACAATCAGATCGCAATTGTGAACGCATTTTTACTTCACCAGGCAAAGCTGAATAGTTTGCCTGACCACGGTGGGAATTGAACCCGCGACCTTTGGGATACTAGTCCAATACTCTACACGACTCACCGCGGTCAGGCTTGCCCGGTGTGGATGCACACTCAGAGTAACACCACAAACATCATATTCACCTGAGTACATAACACCAATACACACAGAAATCATAAGCTGTTAACAACTTGTAACAAGCTTGATGGTACTATCAGACGTGTTACAAGGTTGTTCTAACAAGTCTGATACAGTCATGATATAACAAGAATGTTACAAGGTTGTTCTAACAAGTCTGATACAGTCATGATATAACAAGAATGTTACAAGGTTGTTCTAACAAGTCTGATACAGTCATGATATAACAAGAATGTTACAAGGTTGTTCTGACAAGTCTGATACAGTCATGATATAACAAGAATGTTACAAGGTTGTTCTAACAAGTCTGATATAGTCATGATATAACAAGAATGTTACAAGGTTGTTCTAACAAGTCTGATACAGTCATGATATAACAAGAATGTTACAAGGTTGTTCTAACAAGTCTGATATAGTCATGATATAACAAGAATGTTACAAGGTTGTTCTAACAAGTCTGATACAGTCATGATATAACAAGAATGTGACAAGGTTGATGACACAAGGTTGTAACAATATTGTTATATCATGAAACAACCTTGCAACAAGTCTGATGATACCAACATAACCCCAACACACACAAAAGTAGCATTTTTACTAATTAATTAACTTGATGATGTTCTTGTTTCCTAATAGGTTGATCTAGATCGACAAGACAAACAAGATCTAATAGATAGGATAGAAAAACTAGAAAAAGCCTTGGAACAGAAAACGAAGGTAAGGGAGCTGTCATTATTTACGGGGGAGGTTGGGGGGGTGGCACCGAACAGAAAAGGGTTGGGTAAACAAAATTTTGAGTGAGTAAAAGGTTGGGTGAATGAAAAACAAAACAACTCAAGGGTTGGGTAGTAAAAATTTCTTGTCATTTCCAAAGCGTGACTCATTCAAATATGGAAGACTAAAAAGCAATCTCAACAGTCATATGTCAATACAATATGTAAATCAATCAATCAATCAATCAATCAATCAATCAATCAGAGTCACTATCTTGATCATTTTCCGATTTGTCAGGAGGCAAATGGTGTCTCCAAAGAAAGTACATGTGCAGACAACATGAAACTTCACAAGTGATGTTCACGCAATTTTTTCCGTTCTATTTTTCAGGAGGTTGAAACTTTAAAAAGTGAAAACCAAGCTCTGCTTCGTGTTGTGAACCAAGTCTCGAGTTTAAAGATAAAATAATTTCTGTAAAGTATTTTTTATATATTTGATACGATGCGTAAGGTGTGGTCAGTTCTGGATAGCTGGCTCTAATAACAGATTGCATATTTTTATATGATTTTGTATTGTGACCAAACTTTTCCCAGAAAAGGTGGATGTCTAAATGGTGCTGTTTTTAAAGTGCACCTAACCGTAGTTCTTTTAAAGACGCTGTAAAGTCCGTAATGTAAACAAACGCTTTGTTTACATTTTGAACTCAGTGCTACAGTTGTAAAATATGAATAGATATATATTATACTGAATTTTTAACACTCTTCCGGTTCGCTATGCTTGTAAATGAATACAGACTAGAGATTCAATTCAAGAAAGTTGGGAAGGTGCGAAATATTAATAACATTCCAACGGTCGGGTCCCGACCATCCGAATGTGGGCCTGCGCAGAACGGACTTTACAGCATCTTTAACATCTCATTCCTATAAGAACCTTTGAAATGATATTAATGATAAACTTATTTTGAAGATTTTCGTTTGCACACTTTGTCTCTGAGTTATTTCAGTTTTATTGATATGCAAATGTCCGGAATTTACGTCACATATGAATAATGACTGATCAGAGAATGTAAGGTACAGTTAAATATCATGAAATAAAAAGGCTAAACGGTGTTTTACATAGGTATATGTAATCCTCCCACAACTCCAAACTTCATTTTAACGAATTAAACTCGATACTGAATACGATATACAAGCTTTGGCTTTAAATCATTATGCATTTGTGCCGTGAATTCCGGATATTTGCATACCAAACAAACTGAAATATCTCAGAAACAAAATGAGCAAACGAAAATCTTCAAAATAAGTTATTATATCATTTCAGAAGTTATTAAGAATGAGATGTTAAAAAGACTTGAGGTTGGGCGAACTTTAATTTAAGCAATGTGGAAAATTTGATTAATTCTGGATTTTATATCGTGTTTGAGCTAGCTATAGGGTTTTGTTGTTTGATCATTGATTGAAGTGCGGTTAGTTTGTTTTTGTCCCATAATGACAATCACATTTTGCGTGGCCTTGCTTGTGACTTCACATGCATATCCTCCATAGATATAGGAGATCTAGATTGCTAACGCATACCTAGCGCAGGCGGGGCCTACATGATAAATCCAAGATGGCGGTACAACAGGGCAAAAAGACTATAGATTCTATTACGAAAATCAGGATTTTTGCATTTTTTGCCGTCGCATTGTTTTGAAACTTGTTCGGTCAAATTTTATGGTAAAGAGAAACTTACTGCGAAGATTTTGAGCATATATATGATTGAATTGGATGAAAAATCGCAAAATTATCCAGCGATAAATGTTCGTGTGAAATGGTCAGTTGGTCAGTTGGAGCGTTTTATTGCCAGAAATACTGTGCTATGTTAACATCTAGCCTTGTGAATGGTGTTTTATACTTGCATCTCTCATCATCATCTGCTCTGTCCTCATAATTATGAAAAATGAACTGTTATGTACCCTCCTCCCTCCCCCTCCTAGCTTGTTAGAGAAGTAAACTGACGCGAGCACTGGATGAGGATCTATCATCTATGATCTGTGTAAAGACGAAATTAAAATAGATTAGGTAAAATAAATAAATTAATTAATTAGCATAAGATACTGTAGCTAGTATTTAAGGTAGTTTGCATGCTTAAGTTTGTAATAAATTTAGTTATCGTTTGCTTGTGCTCGAGTAAGGAACAGTTAGAGACTTAAAGTTTGGAAGGAGCCTTCGATAAAGGTATAACTCATTTAGTATTTGTATTTGTATTTATTTTATTCGTTGTAATTTAGTATAGCTAGCAATTTATAAATTAATTTATATAGAACCGCTATTCGCTAGAATAAAGATTGATTCAATTCAAGAACGGACAAGCACTGGCGTGGCGAGTAATTTTATCCGGCAAAATATATGTGAGACCGTTGCTACATTAGTTCTTTATCGACCTCAGTTGTTTACCAGTATTAGTATCAATTCAGTTTGTAGTAAACGGTCTGAATATACGAGCTTTAAGTCATGGAACTTCGTGACCGTAGTGAATGCCAAGCGAGTACACTGTAGAACCAAGACTCTGTTCTTAACGAAAGACTTAAAAAACTTAAGAATGCGCTGTTGGCATATCGGGGTCATTTAACAAGGTCTTATGGAGAACTTAAAGAATCGATGAGCGACCCGAATAAATATGCGGAGACTATTACTAGACGGGACGCTTTAAGCAGCATATTTGAAAGCTATAAAGAAGCAAGCGTGAAATATAGCGAATATTTAGAGCGAGAAGAAGATAAAAAAGCGGTCCAAAAACTACTAGAAAGCGAAGTATTGAGATACATCGAATTCATTCGAATTTATTCGGAATGGTTGCGTAATTTAAGTCTGTTATCTAAAGAGCATAACCGACATGATGAAACGCATCATGAAACAAACAATGTTACGGAACAATTAAGACGTTTTGATAGAACAATAGATGATGAAACGCATCATGAAACAAACAATGTTACGGAACAATTAAGACGTTTTGATAGAACAATGGCTGATGCTGCATTAGAGCCATTTGTTGAAATTCCTTTGAATAGAGATGCGGCATTCCAAATTCCTAAGAAACAAAGCGACTTAGTTTATAATTCAGAACAGAGCGTAGGAAGCAAGAAACAGAACGATTCGGTTTGTAATGCGGGCCGAAGCGAGGGAGGTAAATTAAAAACTAATCGGAATTCAGAAACAAACTTAAAAATGTCAGTAACAAGTAGACAAAGTCAGAAGTTGGCGATGGCTCAGTGGAAATTAGCGCAACTTGAAGCAAGGCAGTTACTCTTGGATGAGCAACATAAACTCGAAACTGAAATGCGAGAAAAAGAATTTAAAACAGAAATGGCTAGATTGCAAATGAAGAAAGAAATTATTGATGCTCAAGAAGAAGTTTGCATATGTGCCCTAGAATCTCAGTATTCACAAGTCGATGATGACCATGCGTTAGAGAGGAGGTCACTGCAATCTCTGAATATTGAAAGTCAGACTCTTCATCAGAAGATGGAGAAATTTTTCAGTTCAGAATTTCCTGTCGACTGTTGTAATCACAAATCAGAACCACAGAAGTTGGATGAAAATTTGGTTAACCAAGACCTAAAAACTGTTGATGTGGACAAAGAAGTTAACCGTAAAGTAACTAAAGAACAGACAACACAGAACCTTGGTGACAATGTCCATACTGAGAAGTCTGAATTGCACCGGATCTTAGAACGTCAGACCCTGTTGATGGAAAGACAACAAGCGACAGTAGAAAGATTCACGACAGGGATGGAACTGCCAAAGAGAGAGTTTCTATATTTCGATGGTAATCCAGTAAATTATACAACATTCATGAGGAATTTCGAGCTAAATGTGGAAAACAGAGTACAAGAAACAAGCGTTAAACTGTCCTTTTTGATTCAATATACGAGTGGTACAGCAAGAGAAGCGATCGAAAATTGTGTGATTTTACCAGCAGATGAAGGTTATGCAAAGGCCAAAGAGATCTTAAGGAAGAACTTTGGACAAAAACATATAATCGTTCGCGCATTTGTTGAAAGAGTCACAAAAGGTCCACAGATTAAGCCTGGTGAACCAGACAAGTTAATGCAATTGGCTCGGAATATGCGTAATTGTTTGTTGAACTCCACGCAGCTGAACTATAAAGCGGACATCAACGCAATGGATACCCTTTCGAAGATTGTAAAGAAACTACCTTCGTATTTACAAGCAAAATGGGCAGAACGTTCTGGTACTCTAATTGGATGTGACATCGAACCTGAATTTCAACATTTGACAGAATTTGTGGAGAAAAATGCTTCCACTGCAAACACAATATTCGGAAAATTGGTTGGGGCAAAACCAGATGATGATAACAAGAATAAATTCAGACCACGAATAGCAAACAAAGGAACATTAGGAGTTACTAGATATACAGAAACCCAAACCAGTGAGACACGGCAATGTTGAAACGACCGGTTATAAAGATAACAATTCTCATCTTGCAAGGAAGCAAATCAGATGTATATACTGCAATCAAACTAATCATGATTTGGAAAGGTGTTACAAGTTTCGGGAAAAAACGCATAAAGAAAGAATGGATTTTGTTCGTAAAGGGAAGCTTTGTGATAATTGTTTGCGAAGGAATCATCTGGCGAAAAGACGTAGATTTAATCCCGCCTGTATGATAAGTGGTTGTGGAAGGAAACATCACTCCCTTTTGCACCCCCCATCGAAATCAGAAAATGAATCCAGTAAAGGTCCTAACGATCCAGGAAGAAGTGAAGAATCCCCTCATGGCAACGAGGCCGGTAGTTCTGGAAACTGTTCTGCTACCGCAAACAGACGTCAGAAGGTGAGCCTCAGGATTGTTCCCGTGAAAGTGAAGAACGAGGATGGAACTCGTGAAATAGAAACTTACGCATTTATTGACAACGGTTCCGACACGACATTGTGTTCGAAGGATTTAGTACATGAACTTAATCTATCAAGTAAACCTTGTGAATTCACTTTAACCACAGTCAATGGACTAGATAAGTCAAGGAATGGTCAAGAAGTAAAGTTAAACATTCAGAGTTTAAATGGTGAAGGTAGCATTCAGGTAGATCGTGTCTGGACTGTCGAAAGCCTACCAATATCTGAACAGTGTATTCCAACAGTTGAAGAGATCAACCGTTGGTCACATTTGAGCGACATAGAATTTCCAAAGTTGGAAAACGCTAAAGTTACTATTTTGATTGGAAGTGACGTGCCCGAAGCTCACTGGATTTTTGAAGAAAGACGTGGTAGACCAAGAGAGCCATTAGCTGCACGAAAATTACTTGGATGGACATTATTGGGCCCAGTTGGAAGTGTTTCTCGACAGGAAGTTAATGTCAACTTTATACATACGAATCAAGAAATGATAACTTCCCAGCTACAGCGGTTGTACAATGCGGAGTTCACTGAGACGTCGTGCTCAACAGATATGACGATGTCAGTCGAAGATCGTCGAGCACTGGCCATAATGGAAAACACCGTTCGTAAAGTTGATGGTCATTATCAAATCGCGTTAACTTGGCGGTATCAGTCACCTTGTCTTCAAAACAACAGATCGATGGCCGAGAGAAGACTACGCTTGTTACAGAATCCCTTGAAGAAAGATGAATCACTCCGCGTGTAGTACAGAGACGTGATCAATGATTACATAAAAAGAGGTCACGCTAGAAAAGTTCCTGTCAACATTAATGACGATTCAAAAGAAAAGCCAGTCTGGTATCTTCTGCACCACCCTGTGGTCAAGCCAGATAAACTGAGGGTTGTATTCGATTGTTCAGCGCGTTACAAAGGAACATCTCTCAATGACCAGTTGCTGAGCGGTCCTGATCTGACGAATTCACTGGTAGGTGTTCTCATACGATTTCGCCAAGAACCGGTAGCAGTAATGTCTGACATCAAACAGATGTTCCACCAGGTTAAAGTGGACCCCAAAGATAACGATGCTTTCCGCTTTCTGTGGTGGCCAGACGGTGATTTATCCAAGGAACCGCAAGATTATCAAATGCTGGTACATCTGTTTGGTGCAACCTCCTCTCCAAGTTGCGCGAGTTATGCACTTAAGAAGACCGCAACTGATAACCAAGGTGAATTTGACATCCAGATGATTGACACTTTAAATCGTAACTTTTATGTTGACGATTGTCTCAAGTCGGTACCATCAGTCGAGAACGCTTTAACTATTGTACAAGAACTTCCCAAGTTATTGGAGAAAGGTGGGTTCCATCTTACAAAGTGGATTTCGAATCGCCGGGAAGTAATGAGCGTTATCCCAGAAAAAGAAAGAGCTTCAACTATTGTGGACTTAGATTTGGATAAGCTACCCGTAGATCGTGCTTTGGGAGTACGATGGGATGTTGAGAGAGACAAGTTTGGGTTTAAAGTCACTAGTCAAGGTTCATTGGATACAAGAAGAAAAGTTTTGTCGTTTGTATCCTCGATCTATGATCCTCCTGGGATTGTGGCTCCTTTGCTTCTGCCGGACAAGAAATTTTTACAGGAGTTATGCAAGCTTCAATTTGGATGGGACGACTTAATTCCGCAAGAGAATTTCCCTATTTGGAAGCAGTGGCTTAAATACCTATCGAATATCGAGAATCTCACGGTGTCGCGTTGTTTAAAGCCTGAGAACTTTGGAAACCTTCGTTCTGCTCAGTTACATCATTTCTCGGATGCATCAGAAGATGGTTATGGAGCTGCTTCATATCTTAGACTGGAAAACATATCCGGGAACATTCATTGTGCTCTTCTCTTGGGAAAGTCGCGAGTCGCGCCTTTGAAAACCATTACAATTCCTAGAATGGAACTAACGGCTGCAACAGTAGCTATAAATCTGCATAAGTTGCTTTCGAAAGAATTGGAGATTTTTATTCATCAAACGGTATTTTGGACAGACTCTACGATTGTCATTCAGTATATCCGTAACGAAGCCAGAAGATTTCAGACATTCGTGGCAAATCGCTTGTCATTGATCCATGAAGTATCGTTGCCAATGCAGTGGAGATATGTTCCATCAGAGTTAAACCGGCCCAGCTGACCATGCCTCTTGTGGTATAAAGGCAACAGATACAGACTATCTAGATCGTTGGTTAAATAGTCCTTCGTTTTTGTGGACGAATGAATGCTACTGGCCACAACAACTAACAGATCTCATAGAGCTGGCTGGAGATGACAAAGAAATAAACCAATCACACCATGTTCATACTGTTAGTAGGAATGACGTAATGATTCATTTGATTTCTCGATTTTCAAATTGGTGTCATCTTCAACTCACCATTGCCTGGCTCCTTAGATATAAATCATATTTGAGAGCACAGGTTAAGACATCGTTACGTAATTTCGATCGTGGTCCCCTCAAAGTCTCCGAGATTCAGTCAAGTACGAAAAAAAAATGTGAATAATCTTTATTAAAATGCAACCTCGTCCCCAGGGTCTTCCTCGTGGTGGCGCGTGAGCTGAGGAAGACCCTGGTAAAATACGATGAAATCTCCAAGATTCTTGGAGATTTATCGCATGCGCAGTAACGGCAACGTTATGTTGCTGACTACAATTAGCGCTGGCGCTTACGATTTTCTTGCTTAAAAATATACATGTTTTGTTGATAGTTTATGGATTTATTCTCAAAGTTTTAACAACTTTTACGAAAAATACTTCAGGTGTAAGCTGTGAACACACATGTACACAAAACTGTGCAACATTCATCATCATATTGTATCAATTTGTCGGAGTATGGCGCTCAAATTTGTGACATTGTTTTGTTCGCTTTGGCAACCCTCGTATATATCAGATGCTGTTCGGCCTCAAATACGACTGAATAAACACTGATAGTGTTGCCTGGAATATGAAATGATATTGAATGATTGTTCCGAATATCAAGGTACGTACTGTACATTTATACTGGATTTATTTTCACACGAGTTTCAAACTATTTCAGCTTTATGAACAATGAGATCACATCACTAACATACAGAAAGACTCCATATTTTCTCATCAAATCTGATTATCGTTACAAGTAACAGTAGAAATGCTTCAAAATTTATTCTGTATGTAAAGCAGGCCAGCATGCTTCATTTTCCTTTGGTGGTAGTCACCACTCACCAAGTCAAATAGGCCATTCCATTTAATAGCCTCCCCCCCCCCTACTGTCTATTGAGGTCTGGATATCCTATATGAGGATTTTATAGAGGGGGTTTTTACCTTAAATTTTTCTGAAGGGTAGCTTAAGAGATTTCCTAAAAATTAGGTGTTTTAGTGATATCCAAAGGGGCAAGAAAGACATCCATAGGGGTTCCAAAATTGCATCCAATGGGGTTCCAAAATTATTAAAAGGTATTATGAAGAGACCCCTCAATAGGGTGGGGGGGGGGGCTATATTAGATGGAATGGCCCAGTGTGCTGCAACAACTTTTAAAATTTGTATATATGTTTTTAAGGCACAATATGTGATGGAGTTTGATATGATGATCAGCACAACCTGAAGTGAAGGTCTTGACTGAATGAACAACTTATCTGATATACTCCTACTTCCAATATTTTGTTGTATGTTATCACCAGCTCAGATGTCAGTTGGATCACTTTGAATGAACATTGGAGTGGCACAATAAAGTGTCTGTATTAGGGAGGAGTCTATAAGGACTGAAGTAAAAGGCACACTTTTGGATATTAATCTGAATCATAGCAACTACATACACTGTAGGTTTCAAATTAGTTTGAACAATGAACAACTGAAAATAGAAATTTCTTTAATTGGAAACACTTAAAGGAATTACAACATAATACATGATAGTCATATGTACATGATTATAGGTATGTTCATTAGTTTTACTAGCTGATATTTATGATTATCCTGGGACAACATTTTATTTTTCCCAAGAGATTTTACTTGCATGACATAGTAATAAGTTTAATAGTAACAGAGAAGTGTGATGGATATGTGAAAGTAATTATCATTAGAAATACAAAGATTAAACTGTAATTTTGATCATTGTAAATGATTGTATTATTAAAGAAACAAAATACAAAAGTCACACAAGGCTATTTAACATAATACAGTCATAATACTAGACTGGTTAAAGAACTACTGAATAGAGGGATCATGAAAATCTTCTAAGATTACTACCATAGCTCTGTAACAGGAAAAGGTATAGTGAGTTAAGGTTTCTTCACCTTGATGAACAAAATTATATAGCATTAGAAAACTATAATGCCATCAACTAATTCCCATTTAAAAATTTTCATGTTGGTCACTGTGAAATATAATCTTGAGGCCATCTTAATGATTGTTTACTATCTGATTGATGACATGATTATATATATTTCCATGGAATTCAAGTTGTTTTTTTCCCCCAAGTTCATGTAAAATATGGTTCACCTGTTAAAATAATAAAATGTTTATTAGTTGTTTTGTAACAGAACAGTACCTGCTTTAAAGAAAATATAGGAAAGAGAAAATTGAAATAACAGTTGTACACTGTATATGGAAAACAGAATAAAATCTTTCAAAGCATTCCTACTACGTACTGTTATCATAATTTGATTAACTGATGAGATAATATGAAGTTTTTCTATATGTTAAAAACTGTGATTTCTGAAGAAGTCTTTCTGTATGTGTGAAATGAAGTCTTGCTGTATGTGTGAAACTGAGTTTATTAGAAAATGTGATTTCCGAGACTCTGAGAAAATGTGAAAGCAACGTGTGAAAAAAATCGAATAAATTCAGTATAAATGTACATTACATACCTTGATATACAGAACAATAAGTCAATATCATTTCATATTCCAGGCAACACTATCAGTATTTATTCAATCGCATTTGAGGCCGAACAGCATCTGATATATACGAGGGTTGCCAAAGCGAACAAAACAATGTCACAAATTTGAGCGCCATACTCCGACAAATTGATACAATATGATGATGAATGTTGCACAGTTTTGTGTACATGTGTGTTCACAGCTTATATCTGAAGTATTTTTCGTAAAATTTGTTAAAACTTTGAGAATAAATCCATAAACAATCAACAAAACATGTATATTTTTAAACAAAAAAATCGTAAGCGCCAGCGCTAATTGTAGTCAGCAACATAACGTTGTCGTTACTGCGCATGCGATAAATCTCCAAGAATCTTGGAGATTTCATCGTATTTTACCAGGGTCTTCCTCAGCTCACGCGCCACCACGAGGAAGACCCTGGGGACGAGGTTGCATTTTAATAAAGATTATTCACATTTTTTTTTCGTACTTGACTGAATCTCGGAGACTTTGAGGGGACCACGATCGAAATTACGTAACGATGTCTTAACCTGTGCTCTCAAATATGATTTATATCTAAGGAGCCAGGCAATGGTGAGTTGAAGATGACACCAATTTGAAAATCGAGAAATCAAATGAATCATTACGTCATTCCTACTAACAGTATGAACATGGTGTGATTGGTTTATTTCTTTGTCATCTCCAGCCAGCTCTATGAGATCTGTTAGTTGTTGTGGCCAGTAGCATTCATTCGTCCACAAAAACGAAGGACTATTTAACCAACGATCTAGATAGTCTGTATCTGTTGCCTTTATACCACAAGAGGCATGGTCAGCTGGGCCGGTTTAACTCTGATGGAACATATCTCCACTGCATTGGCAACGATACTTCATGGATCAATGACAAGCGATTTGCCACGAATGTCTGAAATCTTCTGGCTTCGTTACGGATATACTGAATGACAATCGTAGAGTCTGTCCAAAATACCGTTTGATGAATAAAAATCTCCAATTCTTTCGAAAGCAACTTATGCAGATTTATAGCTACTGTTGCAGCCGTTAGTTCCATTCTAGGAATTGTAATGGTTTTCAAAGGCGCGACTCGCGACTTTCCCAAGAGAAGAGCACAATGAATGTTCCCGGATATGTTTTCCAGTCTAAGATATGAAGCAGCTCCATAACCATCTTCTGATGCATCCGAGAAATGATGTAACTGAGCAGAACGAAGGTTTCCAAAGTTCTCAGGCTTTAAACAACGCGACACCGTGAGATTCTCGATATTCGATAGGTATTTAAGCCACTGCTTCCAAATAGGGAAATTCTCTTGCGGAATTAAGTCGTCCCATCCAAATTGAAGCTTGCATAACTCCTGTAAAAAATTCTTGTCCGGCAGAAGCAAAGGAGCCACAATCCCAGGAGGATCATAGATCGAGGATACAAACGACAAAACTTTTCTTCTTGTATCCAATGAACCTTGACTAGTGACTTTAAACCCAAACTTGTCTCTCTCAACATCCCATCGTACTCCCAAAGCACGATCTACGGGTAGCTTATCCAAATCTAAGTCCACAATAGTTGAAGCTCTTTCTTTTTCTGGGATAACGCTCATTACTTCCCGGCGATTCGAAATCCACTTTGTAAGATGGAACCCACCTTTCTCCAATAACTTGGGAAGTTCTTGTACAATAGTTAAAGCGTTCTCGACTGATGGCACCGACTTGAGACAATCGTCAACATAAAAGTTACGATTTAAAGTGTCAATCATCTGGATGTCAAATTCACCTTGGTTATCAGTTGCGGTCTTCTTAAGTGCATAACTCGCGCAACTTGGAGAGGAGGTTGCACCAAACAGATGTACCAGCATTTAATAATCTTGCGGTTCCTTGGATAAATCGCCGTCTGGCCACCACAGAAAGCGGAAAGCATCGTTATCTTTGGGGTCCACTCTAACCTGGTGGAACATCTGTTTGATGTCAGACATTACTGCTACCGGTTCTTGGCGAAATCGTATAAGAACACCTACCAGTGAATTCGTCAGATCAGGACCGCTCAGCAACTGGTCATTGAGAGATGTTCCTTTGTAACGCGCTGAACAATCGAATACAACCCTCAGTTTATCTGGCTTGACCACAGGGTGGCGGGGAAGATACCAGACTGGCTTTTCTTTTGAATCGTCATTAAGGTTGACGGGAACATTTCTTGCGTGACCTCTTTTTATGTAATCATTGATCACGTCTCTGTACTTCACCCGGAGTGATTCATTTTTCTTCAAGCGATTCTGTAACAAGCGTAGTCTTCTCTCGGCCATCGATCTGTTGTTTTGAAGACAAGGTGACTGATACCGCCAAGGTAACGCGATTTGATAATGACCATCAACTTTACGAACGGTGTTTTCCATTATGGCCAGTGCTCGACGATCTTCGACTGACATCGCCATATCTGTTGAGCACGACGTCTCAGTGAACTCGGCATTGTACAACCGCTGTAGCTGGGAAGTTATCGTTTCTTGATTCGTATGTATAAAGTTGACATTAACTTCCTGTCGAGAAACACTTCCAACTGGGCCCAATAATGTCCATCCAAGTAATGTTCGTGAAGCTAATGACTCTCTTGGTCTACCACGTCTTTCTTCAAAAATCCAGTGAGCTTCGGACACGTCACTTCCAATCAAAATAGTAACATTAGCGTTTTCCAACTTTGGAAATTCTATGTCGCTTAAATGTGACCAACTGTTGATCTCTTCAACTGTTGGAATGCACTGTTCAGATATTGGTAGGCTTTCGACAGTCCCGACACGATCTAACTGAATGCTACCGTCACCATTTAAGCTCTGAATGTTTAACTTTACTTCTTGACCATTCCTTGACTTATCTTGTCCATTGACTGTGGTTAAAGTGAATTCACAAGGTTTACTTGATAGATTAAGTTCATGTAGTAAATCCCTCGAACACAATGTCGTGTCGGAACCATTGTCAATAAATGCGTAAGTTTCTATTTCACGAGTTCCATCCTCGTTCTTGACTTTCACGGGAACAATCCTGAGGCTCACCTTCTGACGTCTGTTTGCTGTAGCAGAACAGTTCCCAGAACTACCGGTCTCGTTGCCATGAGGCAGGGCCTTTTTTAAGGATTTTCTCGTGGGGGGGGGGGCATTTTTTGAAAAGGGACCTTTCTGTGAGATAATATATTAGAGGGGGATAGCAATGGCTGAAGGCCACGTGTGTGGCCAACATACCACGCATGAATGGGGGGGGGGGTCTGATGAGTACTCCCCCAGAAAATTTTTGAAATTTGAATCCCGGAAATGTCATTTCCTGCATTCTGAGCATCCAAATTTGCTCCAAAATTTATGCTAACTATACTTGTATTTGAAATAAATAAAGGAAAAAACGCACAAAAAGTAAAAAAAATAACCATCATTTATCATTACTTATTAGAGGAGGATAGCAATGGTCAGGTGTGTGGGGGTGTACTCCCCCAGAAAATTTTTGAAATTTGAAGCACGGAAATGCCATTTCCTGCATTCTGAGCATCCAAATTTGCTCTAAAATTTATGCTAACTATACTTGTATTTGAAATAAAAGATGGAAAAAATGCACAAAAAGTAAAAAAGAATATTAACTGTAATTTATCATTACTTATTAGAGGGATAATCCCCAGAAAATGTTTGAAATTTGAAACCCGGAAATGCTATTTCCTGCATTCTGAGCATCCAAAAAATAAAAAAATTATTAACAATAATTTATCATTACTTAGTGGTAGAAAAAAGTAACAATTTAAATCGATTTTGTTAAACAAGGACAAAGCCTAAAACTTACTTTCCGTTTATGTATTTGTTAATCTTCTCTGGTTTGTTTGTATAATTTTAGGGAAAAGGGACTTTTCCTGGGGGGGGGGGCAAAATGTGAATTCGTGGTGGGGCACAAGGGGGGACTGGGGGCATTTGCCCCCCCCCCCAGCTTGTATGTTAAAAAAGGCCCTGCCATGAGGGGATTCTTCACTTCTTCCTGGATCGTTAGGACCTTCACTGAATTCATTTTCTGATTTCGATGGTGGGTGCAAAAGGGAGTGATGTTTCCTTCCACAACCACTTATCATACAGGCGGGATTAAATCTACATCTTTTCGCCAAATGATTCCTTCGCAAACAATTATCACAAAGCTTCTCTTTACGAACAAAATGCATTCTTTCTTTATGCGTTTTTTTCCCAAAACTTGTCACACCTTTCCAAATCATGATTAGTTTGATTGCAGTATATACATCTGACTTGCTTCCTTGCAGGATGAGAATTGTTATCTTTATAACCGGTCGTTTCAACATTGCCTGGTGGTCGTGTCTCACTGGTTTGGGTTTCTGTAGATCTAGTAACTCCTAATGTTCCTTTGTTTGATATTCGTGGTCTGAATTTATTCTTGTTATCATCATCTGGTTTTGCCCCAACCAATTTTCCGAATGTTGTGTTTGCAGTGGAAGCATTTTTCTCCACAAATTCTGTGAAATGTTGAAATTCAGGTTCGATGTCACATCCAATTAGAGTACCAGAACGTTCTGCCCATTTTGCTTGTAAATACGAAGGTAGTTTCTTTACAATCTTCGAAAGGGTATCCATTGCGTTTATGTCCGCTTTATAGTTCAGTTGCGTGGAGTTCAACAAACAATTACGCATATCCCGAGCCAATTGCATTAACTTGTCTGGTTCACCAGGCTTAATCTGTGGACCTTTTGTGACTCTTTCAATAAATGCGCGAACGATTATATGTTTTTGTCCAAAGTTCTTCCTTAAGATCTCTTTGGCCTTTGCATAACCTTCATCTGCTGGTAAAATCACACAATTTTCGATCGCTTCTCTTGCTGTACCACTCGTATATTGAATCAAAAAGGACAGTTTAACGCTTGTTTCTTGTACTCTGTTTTCCACATTTAGCTCGAAATTCCTCATGAATGTTGTATAATTTACTGGATTACCATCGAAATATAGAAACTCTCTCTTCGGCAATTCCATTCCTGTCGTGAATCTTTCTACTGTCGCTTGTTGTCTTTCCATCAACAGGGTCTGACGTTCTAAGATCCGGTGCAATTCAGACTTCTCAGTATGGACATTGTCACCAAGGTTCTGTGTTGTCTGTTCTTTAGTTACTTTACGGTTAACTCTGACTTCTTTGTCCACATCAACAGTTTTTAGGTCTTGGTTAACCAAATTTTCATCCAACTTCTGTGGTTCTGATTTGTGATTACAACAGTCGACAGGAAATTCTGAACTGAAAGATTTCTCCATCTTCTGATGAAGAGTCTGACTTTCAATATTCAGAGATTGCAGTGACCTCCTCTCTAACGCATGGTTATCATCGACTTGTGAATACTGAGATTCTAGGGCACATATGCCAACTTCTTCTTCAGCATCAATAATTTCTTTCTTCATTTGCAATCTAGCCATTTCTGTTTTAAATTCTTTTTCTCGCATTCCAGTTTCGAGTTTATGTTGCTCATCCAAGAGTAACTGCCTTGCTTCAAGTTGTGCTAATTTCCACTGGGTCATCGCCAACTTCTGACTTTGTCTACTTGTTACTGACATTTTTAAGTTTGTTTCTGAATTCCGATTAGTTTTTAATTTGGTTCCCTCGCTTCGGCCCGCATTACAAACCGAATCGTTCTGTTTCCTGCTTCCTACGCTCTGTTCTGAATTATAAACTAAGTCGCTTTGTTTCTTAGGAATTTGGAATGCCGCATCTCTATTCAAAGGAATTTCAACAAATGGCTCTAAAGGCCTGATTCCACGAGGCGGATTTTTTCGACCGAAACGAAATTTCTCTTTGTCTTTTTACAATTAGTTCTGCTCGAGAGCTCATGAAACAAAGAGAAATTTCGATTCGGTCGAAAAATTTCGCCTAGTGGAAAACCGCCTTAATGCAGCATCAGCCATTTTTCTATCAAAACGTCTTAATTGTTCCGTAACATTGTTTGTTTCATGATGCGTTTCATCAGCCATTGTTCTATCAAAACGTCTTAATTGTTCCGTAACATTGTTTGTTTCCGTGATGCGTTTCAGCATGTCGGTTATGCTCTTTAGATAACAGACTTAAATTACGCAACCACTCCGAATAAATTCGAATGAATTCGGTGTATCTCAATACTTCGCTTTCTCGTAGTTTTTGAACCGCTTTTTTATCTTCTTCTCGCTCTAAATATTCGCTATATTTCACGCTTGCTTCTTTATAGCTTTCGAATATGCTGCTTAAAGCGTCCCGTCTAGTAATAGTCTCCGCATATTTATTCGGGTCGCTCATCGATTCTTTAAGTTCTGGATAAGACCTTGTTAAATGACCCCGATATGCCGACAGCGCATTCTTAAGTTTATTAAGTCTTTCGTTAAGAACAGAGTCTTGATTCAACAGTGTACTCGCTTGGCATTCACTACGGTCTCGAAGTTCCATGACTTAAAGCTCGTATATATTCAGACCGTTTACTACAAACTGAATTGATACTAATACTGGTAAACAACTGAGGACGATAAAGAACTAATGTAGCAACGGTCTCACTTATATTTTGCTGGATAAAATTACTCGCCACGCCAGTGCTTGTCCGTTCTTGAACTGAATCAATCTTTAGACTTTAATCTTTATTCTATCGAGTAGCGGTTCTATATAAATTAATTTATAAATTGCTAGCTATACTAAATTACAAACGAATAAAATAAAATAAAATAAATACAAATAGAAACAAGTTATACCTTTATCGAAGGCTCCTTCCAAACTTTAAGTCTCTAACTGTTCCTTACTCGAGCACAAGCAAACGATAACTAAATTTATTACTAACTTAAGCATGCAAACTACCGTAAATACTAGCTATCTTATGCTAATTAATTAATTTATTTATTTTACCTAATCTATTTTAATTTCGTCTTTACACATGCATTACTAATCTTTATTCGCTTTTTGAAAATCTTTATTTTGACCAACACTAGCTATAGGCGGTGAAATCATATGCAGGAACAGTCCAAATGCCGTGGTTACAAAGCCGTGAAAATGAGGTAAATAACGTAGCAGTTTGAACTACGGCGTACTAGAATGTTCAAGAGAATTCAAGTTTGTTAGTCGCCTTTGTCTTAGAACAAAAATGCTATTGTTGATGATCACGTCTTCATTGACGTTGTATTTGTAAACTCGCTAAAATATCGGACATCGCCTCCATCATCAATATGTGACATTAGGGACGGACCATTCTGAATTGAATTGATAACCGCTTTATTAGCATGACCATACTTTACAGGTATTGCTAAAGCTTCACTATATAACGTAACAATGTAACATATCAAAATATTTAAGAAGTAGACTATAAGAAGATACTATTTACAGGATGAAGAGTTTAACTAATGACTACCAGCTTTCCCGGCTTCAAGTTGCTCCTCAAAACACAAAAAATAAATTTCGATAATTTCAGGATGTTGTCACTAGCAGTTGACTTCATTATGTCAAATGATAAAGGTGGTTCGTTTACGTTTGTCTCAGTAGTAGTGAGATCGATTTTTAGACTGTTTATAAAGTTTACTCGAATGTCACCATAAGCCTCGCAAGTGAGGAAGAAGTGAGATTCATTTTCGACTTCTCCCGAGTGACAAAGGTTACACAGTCGTTCTTCTCGGGCTATATTATGGTATTTACCAGTTTCAATCTGAAGGCTATGGTTACTTAATCTGAATCGTGTTAAGGTTTTCCTTTTGTTTGAGTCCTTTATTATAGATAAGTACTTTTCTAGTTCGTAATCTATCTTGATGGTTGAATAAAAGGTTAGTTTCGAGGAATTTTCAAGTTTGTGTTTCCAAAATGTGAGGTAATTTTCTTTAAGACGTTTGGTAATAGGTTGAATAAGTTCAGTTGTGATTGTCAGTGATTTCTGTGTTGAGGTTAAATGCTTTCAAATTAAATATCCATTGCTTTTCCATAATAAGACGTGTTCTGTTTAGTAAACAAATCTTTTGAGACTGATTAGGAAAGCTTGTTTGGCAATGGCTGTTTCCGATAAAGAGTTCAAATAAATCTCAAATGAGTGATGTACTTGAAAAGTCTTTTGAAGATAATAATAATTAGAGGGAATTTTCCAAGTTCTCCACTTGAGGCTATATTGCTAGCCTTTTTGCCCACACCTAGATATAGTTTGCAGAATCTAAGGTGGACTTTTTCAATAGGTAACTTGTCCCAATTAGAAATTGACCATTAGAAAAGTGATGGGGGGGGACATTTCCAACCTGTACGATTATTTTTTCAAAATTTTTTGCTTGTGTCGATAATTCATTTTTTTAAATAATCCCTTGCTCGAATTTTTTTTCCCAAGAAGTGTTGGCGAGCGGTGGTAGCTTAACATTTTTTCATGATATTAAAATAAAAAAGGGTCAAAAAAAATTTTCCGGACTAACATCAGTTAAGTTCTTAGTTCAAAAAAAATTTTACCTGACAAATTCTTGTTAAAACATGCTTAAAACCCTTTTTTTGCACAAATATCTGCAAGATTTAGGTTTAGAAATTTTTTTCTCACACCATTACTTATATCAAGAAACGTTCCAAATGATTTTTTTTTATTTTCCAAATTTGGGGGCCACCCTTACACTGGGGGCCCGGGGCAAATTTCCCCCTTGAAAAGTCTGCACGAGTTTTTTTTCAAACTTTTTTGGTGCTCGAATTTTTTTTTCTTTCTGTTTCCCCTGTTCGATTTATATGTTTGCTCCCCCCTCCCCCAACACTTTTCTAATGGTCCGCCCCTTAGGTGAGATCTTCTGAAAGTTTAACACGCAGCATAGCTTGTATAAGGGAACTTTTTCTACTAGCATTCCTGAGATAAAAATGGAATCAAAATTAAACTCGCTGTACTTCAGAAAAGATATCAACATCTCATTGCATTTTTTTATTGAGTTCCTTTCCACGATTAGTGGGAAAACGAGGGACAATTTCGAGTGCAGTGACATCGTTCACAAATTTTATCCTTCCCTGCCAGTTATCTAAAAGCGAATTAACTGACTAGCACATCAAAAAAAGTAGAATGATGGGCGCTTCAGTAAGGCTGGAAAACTCCTTGACGCAGGGAGCTGTTATATATAAATCGGATGTATCAGGGGCAAGCCCAAAAGCGAAGGTCTTTAGAATTTTATTAGGGATGTTATCAGGACCGGGTGATTTTGCAGTTATAGTTCCACGCAAGGTGGAAAAAATTTGACCAAAACTAACCAAAAGTCGATCAGGCACTACCAAATCATTATTGGTGGTACCATTACTGATCAATGGGGTCAAAGTGTGAAGTAAGGCCAACCAGAAAGTCATTATAAGACTGCGCAAGATCATTATAAGAAGAACAGTACTGTGATATCAGCTGCTGGAGAAATGAACCTTTAGATGAAAGACTACCCAATGACTTCACCTCTTTCCACCATCTGCTGGGATTAGAATTCTTCAACCTAGTGACTGACTGTTTGTAATATTTCTCAGTTTCGGGCGATATTTAATTCAGACTCAACTTTGATTCGCAGGTTGTTGTATGCTTGTGACAATTTCCCATGAAGGTGTAAGGCTACCTGACGTTTCTTTATCAAGTCAAGCCTAGACAGGAGCTTGTGCGGCAAGCCGGCAGCGCTTCCAGTAGTAGCAGTTAAGGTCCATGGTGCAGATGGTCGGGAGATAACTACCTACGCTTTCGTCCCCAAGCGCTATAAAATGTGGCCCACAAGTGTCACAGACACAGCGAAAGTAACTGAGCCACGGCAAAATAAAATTAACTGTAATAGCAAAACAAAATTGAAACTCACGGGAAAATAAAGTTAACTCACGGCAAAACGAAATTAACTCATGACAAAATAAAAAGTTACGGGTGAAATAAAGTTTAAATATTAACTGGTTAGGTGTAATAAAATGTATTTAAATTTCCAGTCGATAATTTCCATCAACAACACACTTCAATTATTGAATAGAGCGAGATGCTAACAAAATCTCAACGATTAATAACAGACAGCATAGACAGCAGTGGACAGATTCTCTGATAAGGCTAACTTAATTTATCAGCTTTATTGGACAAATATAGTAGAAAGTACTAGAAACATTTACAAGTTTAAGTCCAAAGGGGATAGCGCAAACGGGACAACGAGACCCATGCTAGGCGCACCCCCTCCAAAAAAAAGAAGAAAAAAAACCCCAACCATTTACTATATATAAATATATATTACATAACATGCATATTAAGAACGGTGGCAGGGGCAGTCTCTTGTGAGCGACCAAGTGCATGCAGGGAACTTATAGGGAACATTAACTAAATTCAAAGCCACAATGCTACATCACCTTTTTAAAATCTCCAGCGCTGTTCTCCATCATTTCGTTTCACACCAGCATGCATATGTCAACTCTCAGTTAATATATACACATCTGAAAGAAGAATTAATATTCCATAGTATCGATAGAATATTTAGTGCATATATATACCTTTACCTGTGGTTTGATTTTTTAGTTTAATTCCTGTAATAAGCATCGTTATTCGTTAAAATGAGTGAAATGTTGCACATGGTACAGGGTGCTTCCAGTCTGACTTTATGCCGACATGGACGGGCTTATATTTGGAATTCCCTACGTGTTAGCAAATATAGTGGACTTATACAGCCACAGGGGGACCTATATCGGGGGGAGGAGGGTTATATTCTAAGGTTTACGGTATATTACTATCCAACGTTTCATATATCCTAGCTGAATCATACAATATAAACACGGTTGAACACGGTTCCGGAAAGCACTGGCAACACCTTGGTCATCCTTTTCATGATTGACATTAGGCTTTATAGCCAAGGTGAGATACTTCCAGATAGGTCAGATGTTCATGGCGTTAACACAAGGCAAAAGAACATTTTGGATATACCAATGTACAGATCAGCTGCGGGTCAACGAACATTTCACTATAGGGCTGTGTCCTTGTGGAATTCTCTGCCTCAGTCTCTTAAAAACATTGATACTTTGACTCATTTTAAAGTAGAATACAAACGTATGTTATTAGAAGAATTTTTAACTGAAAGTGGTGTTTAACAGATTTATAGAATATTTTAGAACTATAGCCTATGTTATACCTTAGGTCAAAACTCAAAATTCATTTTTAGATACTTTTATAGATATAGAATTTTATATTTGTAATTAGATCCTGAAAAGCCCAGTTGGGAGTATCTAATATTGTATAATAATAATAATAATAATAATAATAATAATAATAATAATAATAATAATAATAATAATAATAATAATAATAATAATAATAATAATAATAATAATAATAATAATAATAATAATTCTGTATGCAAGAATATACACTATGTGCAAGATTTTAGAAACTTTTTATCCAGGTTTATATAAAAGGAAGTTAATAATTTTTACAGTTTGTTTGTTCACTGCAACCAGGTATATCAATCATGTTTCGCTCGCTACTCTGATTTAAATAAATGATTACAAAGCCCAGTCGAATTGTAATCAAGACACAACGTTTCGACACTCCAGTCCACTATCGTCAAAAAAGGAAACAAAACAGACTGTAAACAGACTGTACAAAATATAAAGCTTTGTACCTTTCGTGTCAGTACTAGAAAGTAGAAACCAACAGCGGCGCGACCTCTTGGTTTATAATTCACGGTGTAGATTTCACTTCGCCTTCATCTTTTCCAGTCGATTCATCGTCTTGGATATACATAGTCGTTAAATTTTAACCTTCGAGAAGCAAATACATGTGAATAATATATATTTTCACTGAATTCGTTTTGAAAACAAATAATTTTTTGAAATTTTTGAGCCGTCTCGCACGTGTCTCGAACTCGCGGGACCAGTGCGAAATTTTCCTGCGTCCTGATTGGATAATGCTCACGCATGCGCTAAGTTTACCCGAGTGTCAAATTATCGATCGCGCATGCGGTTGTTTCAAAGGTTTGGTTCACCGAGCTAAAGCGTCTCACATGCACCGCACCAGGCAATTGTAACGTACTTATATACGGGACTGTTACTATTACTTATACCAGATTTCAGTATACCGTAAACCTCCGACTATAAGCTCCCTGAATATAAGCCCCCCCCCGAATATAAGCCCACTACATCACTCTAACGCTCACCTCATTCCAAACATAAGCCCCCCCCCCGAATATAAGCCCACCCGAATATAAGCCCCCAAATGTAAGTCCCCCGAATTTATGCCCAGTTGCCCACTACCATAGCCCACTACGTTATTCAACATTGACATTGCCTTAATATAGCAGAGAACGATATTTAAAACATTGTCATTGTCTTTATAGCCGACTATGTTAATGAAAGCAAGTTATTAATACATGTTTATTTTCCTGTTTACGACTGACTTGTTTATGTCTGACTTAATTACTAACACAAAAGATCGTCCATGTATTAGCCCCCCGTATATAAGCC